GAAGTGCAGAGAAAAGCCACATCGGAATTCCAGCAGCAGCCAAATTTCAGTAGTTTAGCTCATGAAACCTACTCAAAATATACTCTCATTTTTGGAGAAGCTAGAAATCAACCTCTCTTATAATCTTTTGAAGCCCAAGTTTAGTAGCCATTCCTCAAAAAAGAAAAGAAAAATACGAGAGATAGAGGCTGTGTGGTTTCTTGCATGATATGTTTGGGACGTCACAACTAACAAAGGAAAATAAAATAAACTTTTTTCCATTGTACAGTACAGTATTGTCCAGTACTGGTATACAAAACATTCTCGTGTTACTACCTTCAGAACAGCGTTCAAAAGAGAGAAAAGCCCAAGTCAACTGCATCATCAAAACAAGGATATAAAGATGAACAACATGCTGCTGCTGAAGTACTACTGCAGGCTGGAGCCACCAACATCTCAAAACTTGGATTTTCACTTATAATTGGATTCAACTCTCCCATGCATCCATTTTCCACCACTAAAGGGTAGTTCATCATGTCGGAGAGTTCACAAGAACTTAAATCCCTTGACTCTCGATCACCATCTGGCCAGAACCTGTCCACAAAGTCATCGGAGTAATAATGATTTCCAGGGTTTTCAGGATTCCATCCCACAGTTGCAACACTTGTAGAATCAAGAAAAAGTGGATTATTTTCATAAAATGTCACGTGATTTTCAGAGAAACTCAAATTTGAGCAAAATTTATGATCATTTGAAGTGTCCCCATTGATTTTATCAGTTGCAGAATATGGCTTCAGGCAGTTGTTAGGAACAATGCAATCCAAGTAGCCAGAATTTGTGTCAGTAGTAGAAAGAAACAAATTATGATCATCATTAGGTGATGAACCATAAGAAGATTGATCATGACAACATGTGTCGTTCTCTGATTGGACAGTTGATTTCTGATCTTTTCTTGGCATAATGTCAGGCTGCAGACTACAAGAACTGGACCGCTTAGGTTCCGTGGCAGTAGAAAACTGTGGTGGTGGCTGCGAAAAGGCTTGAATTTGAAGATCATAATTAGGGGTTAAAAGAGAATGAAAAGTTGTTGTTTGATCAGAGTACACGAAATTAGTTCTTGCTTGAGTGCCCTTCATGGAGAGCGCAGCCCTATCATAGGCAAGTGCAGCTTCTTGAGCAGTGTCAAAGGTTCCCAACCAATGTCTTTCCTTGGTGGTAGGGTCTCTTATTTCGGCTGCATATCGGCCCCATGGCCGTCGTCTTACGCCAAGAAACCTCCCAGGTTCCGCCTGCTTTTTCCGGCCTCGTCTTTCGCTCGGTTGCGCCACTGATGTGTTTCGTTGTAAAAATGTGAAACCGGTATCTGTAAGGATGGGTTCGAAGAGATTTAAGGGTTTCTCGGAAGGTTTAGGGTTTGACATTGATGCAAAAATGAAGAAAATTGTTATGGGAAGAAAGTAGAAACTTAGTTTACGACAGATGAGGAATAAAGTGGGAAATGTGAATGTTGCAGCAAATGAGGAAGTGAAATATCAGTTTGAATGAAGTATACGGAAGCTGTGAAGAGTTCTTTTAAAGACGCTAGTTAAGGATCGTAGACAGTAGACAGTGGACAGTGGACCAGTAAAAAAGTAACTTTCACTGTGAAAATAAGCAATTTTCTTATTTTATGAATTTTGCTAATAAAAGGTTTACCTTTTCTAAATTTGTACTTTTAGAAGTATTTCTTTTTACTGAAACTCAATAATTTTCATTTGTTTTTTCACTTCCATCATCTTGTTACGAGTCCAAATATTATGTTTCGAAGTTGTTATTCGTACCCTGTTAATACATTTTTGCATTTTATCAAACCACCTCTTCAATGCAAATTGGAAGATGTCAACACAAATTTTTTGATACCTCGGCACATTATATCTTGACATACTTTCCATTTCCTGTGAAGAAGTGATGCATCGAGATGTCAAGAATATATTAATGGGATAATCGATGATACAACATATTTTGGACAATAGACCTGACCTCTTGTCACGGCTCATATCTTTTCATTGCTTGTTCTCTAGACCAACGAAAAATAAGAAAAAAATAAAGAAAAGAATAGAAATTTCCCCTTATGGTGTATATATCATTTTGCCATAGGCAAGGGAGCCAAGGGTGAAAATGAAAATTCCATGGGATGGGAGCAAGGTGGTAAGTTAAATTGTACGTAACTAAGATGGATGCATAATGAATTTAATAATCATTATTATATGCTAAAAACCAATAGCCAAATCCAAGCAAAAACCTACTCGATAAGGACATAATTTCATGTCAACTCCTAGATAATTTCACATGCATGCTTAAAATTTCTGATTCTAGAGAAACCCTTTTGGCTTTTGAGGAATGTTGGAATTAAATTAAAACAAGAAATTTCTTAAGCAATGAGGACAATAAAATAAAATGATGTTTTGTCTGTATTTTTCTTGAAAATTTCAAGAATTTGAAATCTGTAATTTTCTTGTAATTATGTGTGATATGTCACATGTTTATTCCGCATTTAAAGGTAAATAATTACAAGTAATCTTATAAGAAATCTTTGTCTTGTTCATGATTTTCAAAGGGAGCAGTTAAAGATTATCTCTAATTAAAAAAATAATGAACCCAAGAATTAAGATAAATGGAAAGTGGAAACATCATCAATTTTAGGTTTTCAAGAAAAAAAGTTGTACTTCATAAGGGCCTCTAAGTCAAAGTTTTAGTAACATTTTGTTTGTCATTATTACGTAGGCTTCAAACATTAATCATTTCCATTTAAAGGGATCAAATTTGAAAATATAAACCCATGAATATTGAAGGTAGATGAGATAAATAAAATTTGATGGATTGAACATGACTAGATAAGTATGAAAAAAGATACACAAGTAATATATTTATTTCCAATTTTTCTCTACACCCTCTTTCTCGTACATGTGACCTACAACAAATTCACATTGTTGCACTGGAGATGCTTTTATTAAGTATTGAGATTTTAATAATACTAATAAGAAATATACGTTTATTATTGCTTTCATGTTTAAGCGAAATTGATTTTCACTCTTAATACGTCATTGCAAGCGTCAGTTTAAGAAAATCAGTCTCGAAAAAAGCTTGTTCGTTTGAGCTTTAGATGAATCAAATGACCATTTGAATTTTTCAAAATATGATTTATTCGAGTGCTATCTTATATTTAATTAACACGTACATTATTAAAAAGACTAGTCAAACCGTATTATTTTGATATTAAAGCGTCGTGAAATTTACCGTTTAACATCACTCATCAAAAAGAACTACAAAAGGCTATAGTCAAAAGGGCAATCAAACGCTTAAGAAGAAACACAGAGATCCAATAACCCAAATAAGTATAATTAGTGGGGGCACTGATTAATCAATTTAATTGGTAATTCTAACATGGAGCTGTTAACTTTATGCCTTTAGTTGATTAATCCTCACATGCCTAAATGTCATTGGGAACAACACAATCCCATGATAATATATTTTTTTAGCATTTCAAATACATGAAGCTTAGAAAATTTCATTATCTAATGACCAAAGAATTTTCAGAAGAATATGATGGGAATAGGTTAAGACAAAATAGTTTTGGAAATTTTCTTACAAAAGTCAGTCAATGATCTTATAAAAAGACGTGATCCCACTTGATTTTAATAATAAAATTATTAATTTTTTATGTGGGATTTTCTTGGGAGATTTGAATTTTTTTTAAGTTTAAACCAAGAAAAATAAAATGTAAAGTTGAAGAGTGCAAGGTGAGTTGGTCTGTGCTCTTTTTGAACTCCTTAATTTCAATATATTTAATTTTCAGTATTAGATAATTTATTAGTTTATCTTTTTTTTTAATACAAATCGATATAAAGAAGTTAATCTGCAAAAAATGACTCTTTTATTCAACTTAATTTGATTTAAATTCTAAAGTATCAAATATCAAACGAGTTATTTTTAGAATTTTGCACAATTTTCTATGACACACTTTTCGTCTAAATCTTTTAAGGCCATCCGGAATTTAGGGAAAAAAGAATATGACATTCTAAGGAGAATAAGGACTAAAGACTAAAGACTAAAGACTAAAGACTAAAGACTTTGACTGAATTGGAAGAGAATAATTTTTTTATTTTTTTTCAAGTCTTTGACCAAACCAGTGAAGAAGGGCCCTTAACTTTTAGTTCAATGAGTCATAAAAGCACTGCAAAAGTTGCTTATAAGTTGGGGAATATATGAGGTTTTTGTTAGAAAGAGACCTAAAAAATGATGAGACCTTTAGTATTTTTGTACATAGGTTGGTAGATGGATCTATAGATATGATCCCGATTGAGCTTGAAAGTGTAAAGTAGGTTGAATTATACTGAAACGTGTGTCTGTAATTTACAACTTAGATAGATCTATTAATTGATGATAAAGATTGAAGAAAAGTTTGATTGTTAGTGGTGTAATTTATCTATTTATTTTTCAATCATAATCGACTATGCAAGATCTAAAATGAACCTGCAAATTACGAAGTTCTTTCATGTGTTTGCTTTGACATTGAGCACATTAGATGTGGACATTTTCAATCTTCTTCACAAGCTCAACATTACAAAAGTGAGTCATATTCGTCCAATACAATCCAATTTTACATCCTTATATTATGTTTGTCGGTTTAATATGTTGTTAGGACTTTGGGGTTCTTTTCATGAACAATGTGTAGGATTTATAAACATGAAAGTGACAATTTCTTTACTTAGTTTGCAATTAAACATCATCCTTATTCTAAATACACGGTATATACACAATTTGAAGAAAATCAAGTCATCGTGGGAAAGACTTCTACTGAACTCTCGTGGAATGTATCAACTAGGAGGATATCATAAATTCATTCTTATAATGATTATAAAATTAAATATGCCATCTTTCCTTTCCTAATATTCATTAGTATTGTTGATAATTGGAAATGAATATTTGGCAAAATTAGAATTCAAAATAGTTTCCGAATTCAATTTAGGCCCTGTTTGGTAGTCATTTTCTTCAAAATGTATTTTTTTGTCTTCTTTTCAATCACACATTTTTTATTAAAATAATATTATACGTAAATAAAAAACTTTTCTTTATTTTTCAACCACACATTTCACATCAATTTACCATTCTAAAATGTATTTTTACATAAAAATGCCTATTAAATACCCCTTAGATAGACTCCTCCATGGTTTGATAGCCCTTCACTCGAATAGCGTCACATCCACTTCTCCCCCTCATGTAATGGATTTGATTTTACTATGGATACATGCATAAAATCATATTTATTTACAGTAATTAGCTTAAATTTGAATATAATATAATAGAATAAATGTATCAAAATTTTCGATATATGCATTAAGGGCCTAATATTAAATATCTTATATTTGAATAGTGACTAGACTAAACTTATAATCTTCGTTGCTTTAGAATGTTGTCGAACCACTTGATTGAAATGGTTAAATGATAAAAATTGGATCCTCGTCTTTCAACTATGAGAATCGTTAAAAATTGTAAGTTTAACTGCTAAGGTGACATTGCCTAGTCAACCATTGCCATATTTTATCCTATCTATCATGAATAGGAGATCAATTTTAAATATCATTTTTTGATATTTAATATTTAATATTTAAATATAATGATATTTTTAAAATCATTATATTACTATAGATGAAAAAATCTATGGAAGATTTCGTGTACAACACCAACCAAATCTAGAGGAGACACGTTTCTAGATTATGCGAACAGGTCATCATTAAATCACACAGACAGCCCTGTGGGCCCTTTTTCAGTGACGTGTCGATTATCTAGCACACTTTTGGATGCCACGTACGTAGATGTGGGATTGTAGTGTGTACTGTGTGAATCGATTGGGTTGTACTTGGCAACGTGTCTTACCGGTATACATGGACCACAAAGCACGGCATAATGGGGTACGAGGTAAATCGTAATAAAAATGGGGATTCGGAAATAAGAGAAACAGTAAAACTGAATCTTTGATGTGGTGTAAAGATATATTTCTTGACGTACTTATTCTCAAGTTACGTTGTTTCCTGTAATGGTGGAATTAAGTAGCAATGACTGTAACTTTCTTGTTACATTAGCTAATAATGATTGTAAATTTACGTTGAACTACATCAACTTATGAACATGACATAAATCCACTTGGCAATTGTGCTAGTTGGATAAATCTAAAAATTAGCCGAAGAACAAGTTCAATCTGTAGATGCGAACGTTGCAAGAGTTTTGACCACAACGAAAGATCTTGCAAGAGCTCATAACCTTTGAAGCAAAATGCAAAAAAGAAGAAAATAAAATAAAGGATTGTGCTACTTGTACATAAAAATCGTACATAATGAATTGCATAAAATGATGTGGAGGGAAAAAACAAATTGACAAATGATAGAATAACATATAATATTATGTAAAGATTGTTGTACAAGCAACAAAATCCTAAAATAAATCAATCCTAATTGTTTTACAACGTTTTTACAATTAAATTACACAAGTCACATTGCTTGTTATTTTTATTTTTTTTTTAAAAAGGATTCGAGATTTCATGTTATATGGTGATAAATTCAAGATTTCTGTCAATATTTGCATTACTTGTGCTTTCTTGATTCCATTTACATTTAACAGGAAAAAAATTAACTCTACATGTCCAACCACCATATCAAAAGCTTTTTAATATATCCATACAAGCAGATTTTTTTTGACGACGGGGCCTATGAAGGCCATTTCTTCATTCAGAAAAGCCATAGATAAATTGAAATTTAAGAACACCACCCATTCCTCAACAATATATTGGAGAGAGAAATTTGATGATTACACTACTTCAATTCTACATTACAAATAATTTCAATAGTTTATTCCAATCAAACTGCATTTATACATGCATGCTAAAACTTTCAGGTCCAATAAAATTGCGGGAGACAAATTGATATAACTATATCTCACATGATTACAGAGATACCTAGGGCTTATGCTTCTTCTTGTGGCTCTTCTTCTTCCTGGAGAAGATTTTCTCGGTTGTCGTGGGCCCAGAATCCGCGAACATCTATAAGCATACTTGCAACTGTCCCGCCCTGTTTGCAAGCCAGTAGATCAGCCAGTGTTATTCTCAACGGATCGGCTGGCTTCACCATATCCCATATTTCATCCCTTACGTCTTCAATACAAAGCTCGTAGTTACCTCCCTCAATCCATTTCTGGTGAACATCCCTGTTTTTTGATGCAAAAGAATATCCAATTTCAATTATACAAATTTTGTTAATATCCAATTTCAATTATACAAATTTTGTATTTTAATTAACATAACATGATTAGAAACAAGATCAGTGACCAAACTCTAGTGCATAAAAATTAAATGGTTTTGATTTAGGTGGTATATGTCAACTTAAGACATGCAGAACTTGCTCAAGAACCTCAAGCAGGAAATTACAATTTTTTTTAGATTTTGCAAGATGAATTAAAAAACATGTCAACCCTCTTGATGTCTCCATCCTTTATTTCCATGTTCATTTTTATTCTGTTTAGTCCTATAGACGATTAATGTCAAGGAGAAATTTAAATCATAAACATTTTATACAAAGAAGAGAGGATGATCTCTTTATCCCCTGAAGCAGCACATGTAAAAGCATATTTGACACACATTATTGGATACTAGTATATTATTCTGCATAATACTGTCCAACCCAAAGAACCAGACGTATCTTTAAGAGAATCTAAAAAGATACACGCGACTTCAATGCCTAAAAGCAAGTTACCTGAAAAGTGTATGGGTATCAGCAGTCGTGAGAAATCCCCTTCCATGGAGATCAAGGCAGCGAAACAAATAAGTTAATCCCTCTGGAGTGTCTTTATTTTCCAGTGCCAAAACAAAGTCGAGAAAACTTTCAAAATCCATCTCCCGAGCATTACCACCTCCGTTTTTTCCACGCCGGACATGCTCATCGAAAACTAATTGTATAAAATAATGAGAAAAGTACTAAGTGTCCGAAAATGGAAGGCACAAACACATTAAACAAAATGAGGTCAGATAATCGTATGATGAGCAGCAGTAAAGAATTGAACAGCCTATTCATATTGTTAGATGAAAATAAAATTTCCTTACAAGATGGCTAGATACATCTCTCTGAGATGGCAATTCGAAATGATTTGTAAAACAAGGATAAAAAGTTTGTAAGATTTACAATGTTATTAGAAAAGGAGATAATATTGAGAATAAATAGTTTCCCCAAAAGAAAAATGAAAATAGGATTTTTTCTCCAAATCAACAGACATAAGCGGGAATGTAGCTTGTGTTGGGATGTGCTAAAAAACAGCTTAAAATACTTTTATCCACTACAGTACCTAAATTATTTTTAATGGCAATCAACTAACAGAAAGGGTCCAACGGTTACTTTTCTAACTTCAGATGTACCAATTTTGCCCCTTGCTGTTCATAACAATTTCAAAGCATCACCGACGCACGATTGGCCTTTAGTGCAGGTTTATATTTGGAAATTTGTATAAATCAATTGCAATGGGTACATAACATGAGATAGTCTTCGGCACAGGTCAAAGTTCTTTTTGCAGAAAATGCAGTCGATTCACTGTGCATGGGCCCCTTTAGTAGTGAAAAAAAATAATAATAAATTAGAGACTAAAAATGGAACATGACCACACTAGTAGTAAAAATGGAACACGAACACTTCAGTAGTTTGATAGATTTTCTTCCAGGAAGAGGGAGATAGGAGAGACTACAATCAACTTCTACCTCTCTCAATAAAAATATCTGTTAATGTCCCATCTGCATATTCTCGAAGCTCCTGCTTGCTCAAAGTTCCATTCATATCTTTATCAAGAGCAAGAAACATATCTGCAAATTTAGATTATCTTCTTTAGTTCCAAATACAACGATTGTAACGTAAGAGATCAAAAATGGTTCTCCATCATGAACAAGTATAACAGAAAAGGCAAGAACCCCACCCATTCATAAAGCAAATTCTTGAATAAAGTTACCATATGCAATGCCTAATAATGCAGCATATACAGCAAGATATTCCATTAACAAGACAAGGCTAGTAAAATGACATCAGGTACCTGACAAATATCAATATTCAAAACTTTGCACAGCTGAAGTACTAACCACATATGCGTTGTGCAGATGTCAATGAGAACCAGTTTTCAGCTTGTTCAGTATCAGTGACTTCTTCCTCACTTTCCTACATGCAGGTGAAAAGGAAAATCCAAATATTAGCTCCCAACTGAAATGCAAACGACAACAGTGTTTTGGACTTTTGCGCAGTACATAAAAGGATGGTCAAGATAAACCTTGTGAAAAGGTCCAGCAGCGCAACAAAATGAGGGAAGGAGAATTTATTGACGTTGTAAACTAATTTTTCATGGATTTAATATGGTGGAGGAAACCCACGAAAATCATCAGATTATTGGACTGCAGTAACCACTTATAATACAATCTCAAAACATAGAGAAAACACATGGAATTCATATCACTACGTTGTAAAGAAAAATTACTGACATCTATATCGTGGAATTATTTGCAATTACAAAAAGTAGCATCAATAATATACCTGGTGCAGTTCCATTAGCTCCTGGAGGCAATTACTGAGTAGCACTTTCTTTATGCACGCCTTACCTGGTCATAATAATCGCAATTCCAAACACCATTGTAAAATAATATGTAAATTAATGCATTACTTAAATAGTCTAATCCCTGATAAGCTAAGAAGCATGGACACAGATACACCAATGGGTGATTTTTCAAAATGTAGGACATGGACAAGGACACGTTGATTTATTTAAAAAATAAAAAATAAAAAATTGTGCATTATGCATATTATTTCATTATTCTTTTAATTTTTCAAATAGGACACAACACATGGCATGCTAGACACATGTCTGAAGAGTATCCCTCAATTATCGAAAATTAAAAGTAATATATATGAAACATACAGAGCACGTGGCTTGTCAAACACATGTACTAGGGGTGTCCGAGGGGTATTGGTGTCTTACAAAACATAGCATGTGTGGGAGTGAGACACAGACATGCCACCCTAGTCGGAGTGCTTGTGCATCAGAGGCTATGAGTCGGTTACCAAGGAAAAGCAACTAAATGTAGTTGCTCCAAAGGAGCCTCTATAGCCTGAGTGTTACAAATAGAAATATGTATATATCTGCACTGACAACACACAAAATATGGAACTCCATGCGGCTAACAGCAGTACTGGACTTGTAAAAGGAAAAAAGAAAAAGAAAAATGTAGAAACGACAGGAGCCCAAAAAAAGCAGCATATAAAAGATTGGAGATCCTAATTGCAGCTGTGTAAAATCATTTTGAGCAATTAAGAAAGACTTGAGTGCCAACCTCGTTTATGGGGATCACAAAAGAAGAAAAACTTGTGTGCAGCTATGCGACAGTACATTTGCACAAAAGCTGCTGGTATGTCCCGGAGTTGTGCCAAATTAGGTATAAGACCTCTTATATAGAATTCCATTTCCTGATCAAGAATAATTAGGCAGTGTTTAGAAAACGTGCATCATTAAACTGGGTAGCTTTAATACATAAAACCAAAGATACAGTCCATTGTGCTGGACGAAGTGCTGAGACACAAAAAGAACCATACGTGAGGTTGAAGGAAACCATCAGAATCCTCATCAAGCTCACTCATATCAATCCTGGCTTGAGTAAGGGATACCTGAAGAAGTAAAGGAAGCAAGGTATTACATGACATAAAAAGTTTTTGCAAGTTGCATTTAGGCAGCAAAGTTTGGAGCTTTTTTCAATCCTTTAATTTTTGTCTCATTAATGTCGAATCACTAACTAATATACCTAGAAAGAATCCACTATCCAATGGAATTCAAGGACAGTTGCTAACAATAATTATGTGGATGATGATATCTAGTTTCCATCAGAAACAAACAAAATGGGCAACTATTGAATGTAGCATGGGATACCTGAATTGGAATGTCCTCGCAAGCACTTGTTACTCTAACGTTTATTATCAAAGATAGTAATTGACATTCTTAATTTCCAAATATTCGGAGACCCAGGAGAGAATTCTACAATTAAATCATAATTTAAGGTGCCTTTTCATATTGCTGAACTATGCACTATAAAATCTAAAGTCTTCTCCTTCAATTTCTCTTCAGCATGCTTTCATTTTCTTCTCCCTTTCTTCCTTTATTTTTTATTCTTTCAGCTTTCCTAGGAGGTGCGGAACGACAGGTCTGTCAAATAACAAACAATTCACCAAAAGCCAGTATATACAAACAACTAAAGAAATTTTTGCACAGATTTTTCTAAAATCATTTTCAAGAGCACATTCTATGTGACCCACAACTTTTCCCCCCTGTTCAACCACATATTCTCCAAAAAACTCATTTTTCACTTGAAAAAAGCTGTGCCAAACAAGCTTTAAATTTTTTTTAGTTAGAGAAAGATATCAGCAATAAAATGCCAAGTATCATTCTAAAAGTTAAAATGTGAGTATCAAAGGAAAAGCAGCTCGACAGTGTATGAATATAAAAGGATCGGCGGCAGAACCTACCGTTCGCATTACATAAAGATAGAATGGTAGAATGGCGATTCTTCCCAATTCGTCTTTTTCAAACTTCATGAAATTTGAAGGGCAGAAAAAGCGTCGACATTTGGGGCCTATTTGTTCGGTACATACAGAGGCAATGTGGCAAAAGTCTTCATAATTCATCTAACAAACAAACAAGTGAAGCGTTTCAGAATTTCATATGCAGAAGGATGGAAAACACAAATTTGTTGCATCAATCAACTGGAAATTGTTGAATTTGAAGACAATTAAGAAAAAACTGAGAAAATTTCATTTGTTAAACTTAAGTTATAGAGCAATCCAATAAAAACGACAGAGGCATCAATGTACATTTTTCAGAAATAATGCAATTAATTGGACATTATATTAGTGTTTTTTGTCTTTGTACTTCTTGAATCCCAAGTAAATGGTTCAGATGACTTCTTCCCAGTAAACTAAGTATGCTATAATGCAAATTGAACAGCTGAAAGGCAGGGATGCCATAGTGAAAACAAGTTGCATAGAAACTAGAAAGCTATCCAACTATTATAATTTATCAAATTTCTTAAACATTTTATAGATTGGCTATGTGATTTACAAGCATACAAGTTTAAAAAAAAAATACTGCATTCCCCTATAAAGTAGAGTTTCCATTATTCAAAAGTTTATATAAAACTTCTTAAACTGAAAAATTTATGACCAGATGTAATGGAAAATAGGGCAGGAAAATAAGAAATATCATATATACTTAAAATCCAACATTTGCAAGAAAACAGACAAAAAGAATCAGAGCAACCACTGACCTTTTCAGCACCAGTTGCATCATCAATGACACAATTCTCCCTCAGGCATAGCCACATAGCATCCAAATCATCAGCATTCAGCAAAAGATCGGTTTGTTTCTGACCAAGAAAAGTACAACGTCAATCATAATTTGTCGAGAATCAAATCCAAAAGCTACAAAAATTGGTCGAGGAACAGTGTATCCACAACCATAGCATGCTGCATGCAGTTATCAGAGGATAAAACTATCGCAGCACAGAACTTAAAATATGGAATCGCAGTACAACAATCAAGAGACATCATTTCACCACCAAGCTACTCAGAATTCTGAATGTGGATACTGAACGTGAAGGATGTTTAAAATAAATAAATAAAATAAAATTCAGTAAGGAAGTAAACAAATCAGACCCAATACCTTTAGAAAACGATATTTTGCCAGCCTCTGGACTCTATGACTGATGGATCCTTCTTCAGGTTTCTAAATGGCAAAACCAAAAGCGTGCATTGAAGAAAAGTTTCAGCAAATTACGTTCGAGAAGGGTAAGAAAATATATTTCCGGAAATGTAGAACATAATATACATTCTCTCCATAGAAATTTTATAAGCAAAAGGTCTCCTAACATAACAAAGAATAAATAACCAATGATTTTTACATATTTGCTAACCAGATTTATCAAAAGATATTATTTTGCATTTTTATATGCAAAAGGTCTCTTAACAAAACAAAGAATAAATAACCAATGATTTTTACATATTTGATAACCAGATTTATCGAAAGATATTATTTTGCATAGAATAATCATTTCCAAATAAAATTGATAATACAGTCTGACATCTTTAAATTCATACCCCAATAATTAACAACATCTGACATCTAATAATATTTCATGAAACTGACCGCCTTTTATAGGCATAATTTAATATTTCTACTATTTAATAATTAATAAAAAATATCAAAAAAATAATGATTAGCAGAATCACATTCCTTAGAGAACCATATATCTAGAGTGGTATGTTACTTTCTCGTCGTCTTGATGTCTAACTGTATATTTCGGAATACCTTATGAGCTAAAAAATAGGTGAGATTTGAAAGGTTGAGAAGAGAAATACATGAGGGAAACGGCAAATTTTATTGAGATGTATGCCAAGCTCGTTGGTAAGTGATTACTCATAAAGAACAACTATACATGATAAAGACTTTCTAACCATCCAAGAGTATGTAGTGGCATTAGCAAATATACCTAAAATAATTTTTTAAGTAGTTGTTCTACAAATTAATAACATCCACTAATTAATAAACTACTGCATAATGGATCTATTAGTTTAGAGAGATCAGGGGCTATACCTTTTTGTAGAAACTAGGAATCGTGCCTCCTTCAGAGCTCTTCTGTTGCTTCTCTTTAAACATGTCTAATAAAATTCTTTTTGTTTCTAGCTCTGAAAGGAGGACAAAAATTCAGTCAGCAAAGTGCCTGCCTGCAGTATGTTTAAGCAGGAATCCATAAAAATTGCAAATCCAAAAACGTTTTATGACTATGACATCCCACATCATCCAATCCGGAAATAACTGTCTTAAAGAAATTCAATGAGCAAGATATAAGCATGAATTGCATGGTATATCAGCAAATGTAGTTCTTCATAACCTCAATGGCTAGTATTCTCTGCTACAAAGCATGGCAACAACAGCCTAATATTTATTCCAAATATATTTAGAGTCTATCGTATGAATCCTTGGTACCTATCCAAAGTAATTAAATCTTAACAACCACAACTAAGTTTTGTTTTACACCTCGTTTTAACCTGTTCTACCAAGATTGCAACACTATTACGACCGACAGCCTCTTTAGGTCTACACAAAATATGTTATAACCATCTCAATCATCCTACGTTTAATTTATTCTCAATCAATATCACCTCCACTTACTAAAATATATTCTCAATTCTTATCTTGTTCATCCATCTTAGCACCCTTAATAATGTCCCTTCCTTTCTCTTTTCTGCCTACTTCTTTGTTCTATTCAAATAGTCATAAGGAAAAACCGCACATATGCCTACTTTACTTACTTTAATTTGAGTTCCGTAGTGTTTTGTTCTATAGCAGCCAGATTTCATACCATAAAGTATAGCAAATCTAAACAGCTGTTACATGGAACTGAGTTTTTGAGAATCATCCTATGAGACGGAATTTCTCTAGAACTTATCCATGTTATCCAACCTAATTTAATCCTATGATCAGAACCTACTCAATTCTTCGACCTAAATATCTAAAACAGTCACTTATAACGACAATGCAATCATCCATATAGCTCAATTATCATCCTTATTACCACTATTACTAAAGTAACACTTCATCTACTGAATCCTGTCTCTTCTTGCAATCAATCAAAAGCATGTAAAAGCATACATATAATACTATTACAACTAGCAATAGAGGAGTGGTAGGAAATTACAGACCCATTAAAGATTCAGATCCAAGCCCGGCACCAGATCCGATGTACCGGCGGAGGTTTCGGACCCATAGCATGGAAGAGACAGGAGGGATTTTCCTCGGCGCCGATGAATCGTGCCCTTCTCCGTCGCTGGATCCACTGTACATATCTCCACTTCCAATTCAAAACCACTTCGATAAAAATTTCAAAGCAAAAAAATACCTTCCCATGCGGGTCTCTGTAAATTCTATTCGGAGCTCCGAAAACCGATTAACGCGAAGACCAAATCTCTCTGAATTGAAATGCTAGGCTCTGTAAAGTACCTTCTTGTTTCTACACTCTCTCCGGTTTGACCAAACGGATGTTATAGAAACCGAAGCGGTTCGGTCTATATTCCTTTATTATATAAATTAGTTATTTATAGAATTTAATTGAGAGTCGGTAAATAATTTTGGAAATTCAGTTTTTTTTTGCTTTTTTTTTT